TGACACAATCTGGCCCATTGCCCTGGTTAACTCCGCATTCCAGTGGGCCACCAAGGAATCATCTGGAAGGCTATCAACATGAGATAAAGCATAATGGAGTTCTTAATAATCACTTACAGACTCACATAGGAGAGAACCCATGGAGATGCCAAGTTTTCCCCACAGAATTCACTTTGTCCCTCATATCCACAAACTCTCATAGGGGGAAATCCATTCTAAATGCACGGAGAATATTTGATGTTCTGGTGTTTGTATGGAGTGTTGTGCATATATGTATTAAAGCAACAAAGGTAATATGTCATAAAGTAAGTATAATGAAAGATACAGTGTACTGTTAGGGATGTGCAGAATATCACCCTGGAGTGCTCATTGTGAGTGAACATGTGCTGAGAATCCATTGATATTTGATCTTTGGCAGACAGAGTTAGGAATGGAGAGTTGTGAAAAGTGGAGCACGACAGTGGTGTTTAGGAAGCAGGATTGGTTCTGCAGTCCTAGATCTGTAGAATTGAAAGGGACTTCGGTCTTCTAGTGCAACTCCCTGTTATCAGAACAGCAGCATAAAACCCATTTTTATAATTGCAATAAAGGAACAATGAAAACACAGAGAGGCTGAAACCATCTTCATGCAGAAAGTAATCTTTATTTTTTTTAAAATCATATTTATTGAAGTTTCCAAAAAATCCAAAAAAGGAAAAAGAAAATAAAAAAAAGGAAAAAAGCATTTAAAACTTTGTTTTCATTCACATCTTTCCAGGACTTCCCCGCCCCTCCCCCTATTATATTCCATTTCCATTAGATTAATTCCACAAGTTTTTACCCCAGTTTTAAAACTTATTATATTTAACCCAATATTCAATTTAATTCATCTTATATAACCACTTTCCCTTTAAAATCCACCTTCTTTCAACATTGAAATTCCCCCCCCTAAGATCGACCCCAGTTCCCTTCCACAAATTCCCCTTTTTAATACACACAGCAGAACAAAATAAAAAAAAGACATTCAAAATATAATTTTACACCCTTTGGATTCAAAATCTCCCTCCCCCCTTTCCCGGTATCGATCCCCAATGTCCATCAGTCTAACTGCTATCAGCCTGGAGACCTCACGTCCATGTCCAAATCTCTCTCAGCTCCACTTTGCCGGTTTTCTTGGTAACCTTTAGCTTCAAACACCCAATCTTAAAACAAAAACTCTATCTCAAGAAAGTCCATTTGTCTTCCATCCAGACCTCTATATTTAAGAGTAAAACTCAAATTCTGTTTCTTAATCCTTTTAAGTCTGAATGTCCCAAATGTTCTAACTTCCAGCTTAGTCCAATTCTTGTTTTCCTTTGTGTCCTCCCTGACAGGCCTTTGGCCTTCCTTGGTCTTCTCGCTTTTCTCAGGTTTCTTTTCCTGTTCCACTGCAAAAACATACTAATTCAAAAACTTCTGGTTCCTCTACAGAGGCTTTATTTGTTCAGGAACAAAAACTTGCGTCAAGTCCCTTCCATTCTTCAATAGATATATCTATTGTCTCCTTTAGTGTAGAGACCTCTGTAGACAAAATAATGTTTCATTTTTGCAGCTTTCCCAGGAGATAAAAAGTCCAGTCCAATTCCATGAGTATTTTTCCACTTACAGTCATTCTTGTAATATCCCGAAACCCCTCTAGGGGGATTGTGGTAACTTAGTTTCCTTCCAAAAGTCAAGCTAACTTGTTATTCCTTGTTTTCAACAATTTATATCCAGATTGTAACAAATCTAACCAGCAAAGTCCTCATAGCAAAGTTCTCTTTTTATTCTCCAACTTTGGCAGCTACTTTGACAGCTGTCAAAATCTCTATATCTCTTCACCAGGCTCTCTCACGGATCGCTCCCGGTTCCCGGGGGGGTTGCATTTTAGCTCTCACAATCCACTCTTCTCCTCCAGCACAGTCACTTGAAATTTCCCATCGTGAAATTAATAACTTTTATCAATAAGCAAAACAGACTCTTCTCTCGACCTTAGTTGTCAAATCCTTGCTTTAAATTGTCTACAATAGGGGGGAGACAGACTTCCTTTTTGCATCTCCCCCGCTCGTACCGAATCCAAAGAAAAATTTTCCCTTTTGTGTCCGATTTCCAAATTACTCACGGGTTGTTCTTTTTAGTCCAAATTTTCAATAGAAGAAGTCAGCGCTCTCTGTCGAATGGCATGCGGCTTCGCTCGGCAGGGGAAGCAGAAGACTCATAGCACCACGCCACCCCCCATCCCCCGCTCCGCAGCCTTTAAAAAGGCTCCTTCGCGGGTCGGGGGGCGCAAACGGTGCCCGCCGAGTCACCATGTCCATGGGCATTCGCGCCCATGGTTTTTGAGGGTCCCCGCGTTGCCGGCGCTGCGGGACCTGACCCCTGCCGAGCAGACTCCCTCCGGAGCTCGGAGGGAGTCCGCCATTAGGCGATGGCGCCAACCCAGAAGTCCCATGCAGAAAGTAATCTTTAAACCATCATATATTGCTTAATCTTGGCTACGACACAGGGGAATGTGGGCATTGCCAGTGTTTATGTTTTATTTATTTATTTATTTGTTTATTTATTTATTTATACATACATACATACATACATACATACATAGATACCCTGCCCATCTCAATCTGAGCTGTACATTGCAGTAGTAGGAAGGCATTTGGACACACATACATAAATAATTCTAGAATATACTGGCATCTTCTGGGAAATAATAGGTCTGGAATCTAGGGTTTTAAAACTAACTAAAACTAACTAACTAACTAACTCACACACACCCCACTCCCCACTATAAGCTGTGGTCAAGTCCAACTTCTGGTGGGGGGTTTCCCATATCCCAAGTGCTAGGAATCAAATGCCATGTTTATTTTTTGTGTGCTCAGGTGCTCCTTCATGTTCAGATCACACCTCAGTATAATAATGTGGCATTTCGGAATGAAGATGCAGCCCAGAAGTCCAGCATTGGAGGCCAAGATAGAGAAAACCTGAACACCTACCATGTATTTCCCCTTTGTGCTCAGGTAGGTGGGAACAAAGGACACCCAAACACTGCAGAAGACCAGCATGCTGAAGGTGATCAGCTTGGCTTCATTGAAGGACCCAGGCAGCTTCCTGGCTAGGAAAGCCACCACGAAGCAGATGGCCGCCAGGAAGCCCATGTAGCCAAGGGCACCATAAAACATGGCCACAAACCACTTGGAGGGTGTGTTTACAATAAAGTGATATATAAATCTTGTTAAAAATAAAAGCAGAGGTTCAGACAAATTCATGGAAGTGGATATATTCCCCCTCCACAGTGGGAGGTAGGATTGTACAGGTTTAGGGGAATCACATGTCTGGAATTGCCACTGTCCTCATCTCCTTCTGGTTGGCTTCCCTTTGGGGCACCTGATTGGTCACTGTGAGAACTGGAAGCTGGAATTTATGGGCCCTTGGTCTGATCCAGTTTCAGAACTCTTCTAATGTCAATAAAAGTTAGCCAAACTCAGCTTTCTCCCTCCATGATCCACCTCAGGGTATTGAGTAAACATGTTTTCCCCCTTCTCTGCACCTGCTCCCATAAAGTTCAGAGGAGATCTTTCTCCCTTAATAATTATCAGAACTACAGTTATCTATGCTTATTCTTTCCAGAGTTGAAATGACTCCCTCACACCCCTTTCAGTGTTACCTATGGGAACAATAATGTAAATATCACAGTCAGGCTCAGAAGGATGTTATTTATTCCACTATGACTGATGCATAAAATACCTCATGTGCCATAGAATATTTGGGGCCAAGATTCAGGGCAGGTGAAGGGGTGAGATAAGTGTGCGTGAAGCTTACTCAGAATACAGGAAGCTGAGCTATGTAGCTCAGTACTATCTACTGACTGAGAGCTCTCCAGATAGAGGACATTCCCAGCTCTACGTGCAGAGTTTAGCGGGGTTGAACCTAGCACCAGAGCTGTATTTCTCAAGTCCTGTATTTCTCAAAAGAGTTTGGGGTTACTTCTTATTAGCTGGCTATGGAGTTGGGAGGAAGTCATAAGGGACGTGTAGCAGGCAGACCCAGTATGACAACACTGCCTCTGCTTCTGCCTCTTGCCACCTATGGAATGCAGCAGAAGGCCAAATGTCCACTGAATCTGATCAGGGATGAAAATTCTGTTATGAATTTCTACAGATCAGGAGACTACCTCATTAGTGGAGTCACACCTTTGAAATATATTAAAGATCTCTCTCCATTCACCTTTTCAAGCACCCCGTATAGGTAATATTTCTGCTTCCTACCCACTCTCCAATTCTCTTGATGTACCCGGCTCAGCCTCTATTTTCTGATGAAGCGCTATATTTTCTGTTTTTCCTGATGAATCGCTATCTCCTGTTTTTTGTTTGAAGACTGATGGAGCGTTTCATTCTGTGGGATCACATACAATTGGAAAATGTGGGTAGGATTACAACAACAACAACAATAATAATATTTTTATACCCCGCCCAATGTTATACAAAAGCAACAAACACCCTCCTTGCTTTAAAATATGGGATATGAAATGGATGAAACTATCCTGGGCTGCTTTCCCCATGCTCCCACTAGAAATATGCAAACCATTATTTAGGAACCAATTTTTGTGCAATATACCATGCCTGGAGAGGCTGCTAACCACTGGACTTGATGGGCTGGCCAAGGAGGTCATAGAAGCGTAGAACTGTAGAGTTAGAAGGGACCCTGAGGACCATCTAGTCCAGACTTCCTCAGACTCAGCCCTCCAGATGTTTTTGACCTACAACTCCCATGATCCCTAGCTAGCAGGACCGGTGGTCAGGGATGGTGGGAATTGTAGTCTCAAAACATCTGGAGGGCCGAGTTTGAGGAAGCCTGATCTAGTTCTAAGATACTTCTAAGTTCTAAGATCATTCTAAGATACTTCTGGTGTCCTTTCATATTTATTTCAATTGGTACAAAGAGAAGCAATTGACTTTCATTTTCAGTGAATTGTGGATGACTATGAGACGTGCTTTTTTTGCAGCCGGATGAATGGCAGGGACTGGTACATTCTTTCCTTCCTGCTTGCTGTTCAGGAGATCAATCATAACCCTGTGCTCTTACCCAACATCACCCTGGGCTACAGCATTTATGATACTTATTTTGATGGAAGAACGACTTCTGATGCCCTGACAGACCTCCTTGCTGGTGGGAAAATCAACATTCCAAACTACAGGTGTGGAAGATGGAATAAGCTGCTGGCTTTTCTTGAAGGGGGTGAATCTGACATCTCCACATACATTGCAAGCATGCTGGGCACCTACAAGATCCCACAGGTAGGAACTGGGATCATAACAAACACATCTGGCAACATTTGCTACCTCGTGAAAGAACAAGTTATGCAACTGATTTTACAGCTTACTTTACACTCTACATCACTTTGAAACATTGCTTTTCAGGAGGTGAAGAGCCATATAGAAATATTTCAATAACTAAATTGACGCTAGCACTTCTGCGTGGAAAACGGATGCTCTGTGGCATGGCTCTCCGCCAATTTTGTTGTGTGGTGTGGTGTGTTAAGTAGAATTGTTTTAATTGACACTGAAGTGGGAATGGCTATGTGTATTGGTGAAAGAGTTTAACTGCAAGGTGCCACTGATGCGAAATTAAGAGCAAAAGGGAACTTGGGAGTTCTAACTGAGTTGATAATTAACTGTTGTTATTCTCTGCTAGCTAACACGTGAGTGTTTAACCTTAGATCAGGTGATTAACATATAGAAATTCACCAGACTAGAAGGGTAGTGGCTGAGTCTTTGTTCCCAGACTCTTTGAGAGGGAGGAAGTAAATGAATCTTTCACACAGAAGTGTCCAATCTTTGTCCTGAAAAACAATGCATGAGTCTTTTTTCATTTCAACAGCTCAGTTACGGCTTAGTTCAGGATGATGTCCAATCCCCTTTTGTCTATCGCATGGTTCCAAAGCAAGAAACTCAGCATCTGGGGATGGTCCAACTCCTCCTGCATTTCAGGTGGACGTGGGTCGGTCTCTTTGCTCCAGACAATGACAATGGAGAAAAGTTCCTGACTACCTTGACACCCTTGATGACCAGCAACGAAATCTGTGTTGCCTTCACAAAAACAGTACTACTACATACTTGGCTATGGTTACCCCATGAACAGCCTGCAGTGTGGAGACAAGTCAATGTATTTGTTTACTACACAGGCTCTCAATATGGACTTCATATAATCATTGAGGTACAATCCTTCCTTGAAAGGTTACAAACTGGGGGTAAAGTCTGGATAACCACAGCTCTACAGAACACAATCTTGTTCTATGATACCGAATCCTTCCGCTATGCCCATGGCTCTTTGTCCTTCATACTGAAGACCAAAAGAAGGACAAAAAAGGACTACTATAAGCCAATGTCCGCTGCGAGTCTAAGCGTTTGGGCAGAAAATTTTGATTGTTCATATTCAAAGCATGCCTTGGCTGTGAGGGGTTGGACAAGGTGCAGGGAGAAGGAGAATCTGAAGATGCTGCCCCAGGAGGAGATTGAAAAAATTCAGTCCCAAGACAATTATGTCAATTACTACAGTGTCCAAGTTGTGGCTGAGGCCTTGAATGCTGCATATTCATCCAGCTCAAAACGGATGTTGACGGTGGGTGCTGGAAACAGGTTGGAACTTGAAAGGCTACAGCCATGGCAGGTACGTCTTTTGCCTTCTGCAAACTTCCATTCATTGTCCTAGCTCTGGAATCATCAAGATATGAGCCTAGGAAGCTCATTATATTGTGTCAAACCAATGATCCGCCTAGTTTAACATATACCACACTGACTAGCAGCAAAGATAGAGGAAGCTGCCTTAGTCAGACGCAGCAGTGGTACATTTTATTTCCACAAACTTATAAGCCACCCTCCATCACATCAATATGACCCTAGGGAAGTTTTCCTAAAAACGCAGTGAACAGTATATGTGAACAAATATTAAAATAATCCAACAGCACTGTGTTTGTTGTGAGAGAGGTTTGTGGAGAAAGATGTTGGGGAATTATCTGATATATTTCACTCCCTTTTTCAAAGCTGCATTCCACAGGGCGGGCACAACTACCGAGAAGGCCCTCTGCCTGGTTCCCTGTAACCTCACTTCTCACAAGGAGAGAACTGTCAGAAGGCCCTCAGAGCTGGATCTCAGTGTCCAGGCTGGACGATGGGGGTGGAGACACCTTTCAGGTATTCAGGGCCAAAGCTGTTCAGGGCTTTGAAGGTCAGCACCAAAAATTGGTCTTGTGCTGGGAGCCACTGTAGGTTTTATTCAGAGGAGATCAGGATGCAGTGTAAGCAGGGCTGAATTATCCAACATGGTTTTGGTTTCATGTTCTCTCAATGTTGGAGTTTCCTTTGTCATTGTAGCTTCATCCTTACTTGAAAGAAGTCCGGTTCTCTTCTAATACTTCAGCTGGTGGACAGAACTTGGATGAGACTGGAGCATTGGCCATTGGATTTGATATCGTGAATTGGGTGATGTTTCCTAATAATTCTCGTGCTAGAGTGAAGATCGGGAGCATAGAGAGACAAACTTCCCCAGATCTAAAGTTCACCATAAACCCGGAAGCAATTGTATGGTCCAAGCCTTTTAATAAGGTAGGGAAATTATGTGTCATTTTATTACCTGTGACATGTGCTAAGCTCTAGATACCTCCCTGGAGCTAAGTCCCATTGAGCTTAATGGAGCTCAATGGGTACGCATGAATAAGATTTCACGGTGGGATAGGCGTCTTTCCAAAGAGGTGCCCTCCAGAATTTTTGCATCTGCCCTAGCCAGCATTGGCTCAAGGCATCTGAAGGGCATCAGATTGTGTAAGGCTGAAGTATAGTAAGGGCTTCCTCATCTATTTGGTCGATCAACAGGGCAGCATGAAAATAGTTAACCTCAGAGTGGCAGAAATCAGCCAGCCAGCCATTCCTTAATTCAAAACTGTGTAATCCAGTTGTAGATGTGATGGCAACAGCTTGAGGACTTGTTTTATTGCTGCTGTTCTTTTTAATGTGGTTTATTTCATGCTCCCCTTTGTTGTTACCTGTTATCCTAGTACTGTAGATTACTTACTTAAGTTCTTGTTCTTTGTATTTTTCATGCTGCCTTTTATAGAAAAGCGAGATTATCAGTGTTAAAGTAAAAGAGCAGAAACACCACAAGGGTTTCTCTGCCATGCTGGTCTGCAAAAACCAAAGGAAAATGGAATTGCCCCCAAATGTAATTGTCCCTTGAAGTAAATATCTCTTCTCTGGTATCCTTCCAAAATTCTATTTTCTGTGTCCAAAGACACAAATGCACCTATCACTTTCTCCTTAGTGCTCAATTTTCTCTTCATGCCTAGATGGTGCCTCGTTCAAGATGCACAGAAAGCTGTCTCTCTGGATATTCCAGAAAAGTTCAGGAAGGGAAGCCGCCCTGCTGCTATGATTGCGCTCCCTGCTCAGAAGGGACCATCTCCACTCAGGAAGGTAGGAGAGGATCTTCAAGAAAATGGCCTTCGATGGAAGGATGGGGGTAATTTCTGAGCCAGGCTGAACATAATGTTTGTATGGAATGTCATTCCCAGAGAGGGCTCAGCTGTTGTTAGTCAGCAATGTCCTTCCAGCACCAGAAAATTTTACTTGCCCACTAGCTCACATGTGAACAGTAAATCTGGATTTAATGGTTGCTGCTCTGCAGAACTCTGGTTTATGATTTTTCTACAGTCATACCTCATGTTACATCCACTTCATGTTAAGTTATTTCAGGTTACGTCCCGCAGCAACCCCAAAGTACCGGAAAGGGTTACTTCCGGGTTTCACCGCTTGTGCATGCTCAGAAGCGCAAAATGACATCACACGCATGCGCAGAAGCGGCGAATCGCAACCTTTGCGTGTGCAGACGCACCGCTGCAGGTTGTGCTCTTTTCATGTTGCAAACGGGCCTCCGGAATGGATCCCGTTCACAACCAGAGGTACCACTGTATTGTTGTTTTCTCATTTCTTATATTGTCTTCTATTATACCACCCACCAGTCTAACTGACAGACAGGTAAAATATCTTGCAAATCAACCAATCACTAAAAATTTAAATCATAAGCAGCCTCAAGGATCTCAGAAGAACCTTGCTTAAGGAGAGCAAAGCAGCCTGTTCTGAGAGACCAGTAGGATTCCCATGGGAAGACCAGAAGCAGCATAGAAAGAACAGCCCCCCCCCAACTCCCATGTGATCTATAGCAACTGGTATACAAAGGCATTCAAAGGTCACCTCCCTGTTGCAGGGAGTACATGACATTGAATCTGATACTGGGGGGTATTTTGATGGTTGAGGGAAAAGTGCACAAGACAGACAGGGCACATTGGGTTCACCAAACCTGTGATCTCAGGAGGGTTATTGGTGAGCTACGGTGTCAAGTCAGCACTAGGGCCAGTGAGAGGACCTGACTATTACTCAGAGGTCTCCAGGAGTTCAGGAATGGTGATGGTGATACAAAATAATACTGCCCCCAAATTCCTCGGAGGAATTGTCAGATCCAAATGTAATACATGATTTTTAAAATATATATATATTCTAGTGTCACTATATAATAAAGTTGGGATTAATATACCTGCTTCTCAATACTGGAATATGCCAAGAAGTTGCCTTTATACCGAGTCAACTCATTAAGCCAGCAAGCCTACTATTGTCTAATCCAGGGGTCCAGAATTTTTTTCCCCTGACCTTTCCACTAGATCTTAATTTCCCAAGCGAAAATTAGCAGCTGGGAGCTGCTGACAACTTGTCAGTCACCTAATGCAGTAGTGATTTCAGCTGATTTCACCCTTCAGAAGGGGCTGAACACTGCTCCAAAACTCTGGTGCTTCAGGGTCCAAAAAGCAGCACAGCTGTGTTTACCAGGAACTCTCCAACAGCCCCACACTAGAATTTGAACCTGTGGTTTTGGAAGGTTGAAATATGTCCGCTCACCCCTCTTGGTGCAGCAGTGTTGCGGGACGGCAGAGGCTTCACTGGAGCCCCGACAAGAGAACTTGAACTTTGGTGCCCTTCCTGATAGACAGTGAGGGCATAAGCCCCCGCTGCCTATCAGGAACCAGATCCTAGCCTGCACCCTGCTTTGGCAAATGGGGATGCAGGCTGGGACTTGGGCAGTGCCAGGGGGCTTCCCTCGGATCCCCAACAACACCACTGAAAAAGAGAAGTAGTTCCTATGGAATGGAAACCACTTCTGCCTCCTTGACCATTGCAATATATAAGCTGGTGAGTGGGTGGTAGTGTACTTTACTTAAGGTGCCAATTGTTATTTCGAAGCCTCACTTTTACTCATGTGACAACTACAGAAATTGTGGGAACCTTAATAGAGAAAGCTCTGAAGTATCTCACAAAGAGTGTGTTTCCAGGCATGCTGCACAAGATCTTTTTGGGGGACTACGTCAGTGGACTGAGGCTTATCAAGCAGTGAATGTTTGCTTCTCTCCTTTCCAACACAACAGTGTTCTTTCCTGATCTCTCCCATAGACCCACCTTTCCCCACAACTGAAACAGCATTCAGACCATTGTAGGCCCGTGACTGGTGTTAGGAGACTGAAGTGTGTTTTCCTCTATGCAGATGCTGATGAATGCACCAAATGTCCAGAAGATCAGCATCCAAATGAGGACCGAGACCAATGTGTCCCCAAAGTAATAACCTTCCTGTCCTATGAAGAATGTTTGGGGAGCCTCCTGGCTTCCCTTGCCCTCTTCTTATCCTTAACCACAGGCTTTGTCTTAGGAATCTTCATTAAATACAAGGAAACACCAATAGTCAAAGCCAACAATCGGGACCTCTCCTACGTTCTCCTCATGTCTCTCCTGCTCTCCTTTTTGTCCTCCTTCCTCTTCATTGGACGGCCAAGGAACGTGACCTGCCTTCTCAGACAGATAACCTTCAGCATCATCTTCTCAGTTGCTGTCTCTTCTGTCTTGGCAAAAACCATCACTGTGGTTCTGGCTTTCCTGGCGACTAAGCCAGGGAACAGGGTGAGGAGATGGCTGGGGAAGAGTTTGGCTCACTCCATTGTCATTTCCTGTTCCAGTGTCCAAGTTATCATATGCAGCACCGGGCTGGGAATCTCTCCCCCTTTTCCAGAATCTGAGATGCACTCGCAGCCTGGAAAGATTATCTTGCAATGCAATGAAGGGTCTGTGGCCATGTTCTATGGTGCCCTTGGCTACATGGGCTTCCTGTCAGCCATCTGCTTCACGGTGGCTTTCCTAGCCAGGAAACTGCCTGGAGCCTTCAATGAAGCCAAGCTGATCACCTTCAGCATGCTGGTCTTCTGCAGTGTTTGGGTGTCCTTTGTGCCCACCTACCTGAGCACCAAGGGGAAAATTCATGGTAGCTGTGCAAGTCCTCTCTATCTTAGCCTCCAGTGCTGGGCTTCTGGGCTGCATCTTCATCCCCAAATGCTACATTATTATACTGAGGCCTGATCTGAACATGAAGGAGCACCTGACAATAAAAAGCTAAATGTGACATTTGATCACAGCTTGTTGTGGGGATCTTTAAAAAGAAATCTAGATCCTGGACACATTTGTGATGGGAAAGAGACAGAAAAAGATCTACTGGTAGATATCTGGACGATTTGCAGTAGACCTCAAAGAGTTTCTGACTCCCAGTTCTTCAGCAATGGCAACTGTGGAGACCAGGGGACCCCGTTATTTCTTTAAATCATTCCATGTACCAGGCTCTTGTATCTTGAGTTAAACTGCTCATAGCTGAATTTCAGAAGCTGCTTAAGATGTTGCAAACATAGCTGGCTAAGTATAAAATGAATATAGCTAAATTAGGAGAAAGGTAACATGAAACCTGCTACATCATGGAGATAGGTAAAATGTATGATGGGAATCTACAAAGTTGACACACATTTACCAAATTTTAGGCAAATGAGTCTTGAGGATATAAAGGGCTTCCTCCTGGGATTCTGGCAGCTCATCTGAGTTGGGTCTCCCCTCAATAAGAGGCCAGAACTGATCTAGCCTATCTCAGATACTGGCATTTTTTGTTTAAATTTTTTTTATTAAATATTCTATTGAGTCACAAAAGTATATACTGTCGCATCAGTGCCAGAGGAGAAAAAAACTTGAACACGTAGCAGAATTTCCAAATAATAGACCAGAGGCAATTGTACTTCATCCAGCAGAGCTTTACTGGTACTGAAAGGCAAATGGGCATAAATGGTCACAAATCCAATACAATCAGGCGCAGTCCATAAAAATCCAGTTGAAGCACTTACAATAAAACTTACAAAACTTAAAATAAGTCTAAACCTTAACACCACAGCATACAGAAGCAGAACACTAGAACAAAGAGACAGAAAACAGAAAGTGAGTGAGAACCCAGGCTCCTCCTGGTCTTACTATTAGAGTCAGCATGACCTTACAGAACAGATAACAGAACCAGTTTGAACAGCTGTACTCAGCTTCCCAGAGAAATAACCCAATCATGAACCTTCTTCCTGCTTCTCTCACATAGAAATAAACATTTTTTCACACAGAGAAGCTTCTGGAACCTTCTTGTACTAATCAGAACAGTAAATATCTCTACACATCAGATTAATAATAATAGTAATAATAATAATATATTATTTATACTCCACCCATCTGTCTGGGTTTCCCCAGCCACTCTGGGCAGCTTTCAACAGAACATTAAAAACTTCAAATACTGAAAACTTCCCTAAACAGGGCTGCCTTCAGATGTCTTCTAAAAGTCAGGTAGTTGTTTATTTCCTTGACATCTGATGGGAGGGTGTTCCATAGGGCGGGTGCCACTACCGAGAAGGTCCTCTGCCTGGTTCCCTGTAACTTGGCTTCTCGCAGTGAGGGAACCGCCAGAAGGACACTGGACCTCAGTGTCTGGGCAGAACGATGGGGGTGGAGACACTCCTTCAGGTATACTGGGCCAAGGCCGTTTAGGGCTTTAAAGGTCAGCACCAACACTTTGAATTGTGCTCGGAAACGTACTACAAAATGCAAACTGATACAAGGGCTGCAGTGGGTTTCGTTTGCGTGTGTGAGGGCAAGGGATTGTTGGGTCAAGTCAGCTGTAATAATCTCAGCGCAGGAAACGCCTGCCATTCTTGGATACGAAGTGCTCAGTCTGAGTTTCCGTTTCCCAGACAACACAAAGGCCAGCAATATCCGGTCCTTCCCCCCTTCCCCTTACATAGCATTTTCACCCTCTCCTCCCTCCTGCTGGTGGCTGTGACCTCTCATTCTCAGAGACAGCCTCGCTCTCAGGCCCATCTTAAGCGTCTGACCCTTGCTAGATCCCTGACACCAGCCATATTGATTCATACGCTGTCAACCTTGAAGACAATAGAAGTTCAGTCTTATGAACTGCAGAGCAACCAGGACAGAACAGCCAAAATTTGTCTGAGTTTTGCGCAGGAAGGGTTTTTCCACACATACGAAAGAGGGAGGAATGACTGTGTGGTGATTGCTGCTATTGGAAGAGGATTGGCCCTTGTTAATACAAAATTACTAACATTTCTGTAACAGTCCTAGGCAGCGAATGTTGTCAATAAGAGAAGGCTGCACAGATTAGAAAGTGCGCCCTGCTGAAGTGGATTTTCCTCTCTAGGAAGCAGGAGATCCTCTTCACCCTTCTTGCAAAACAGAAATTCCCTTCTTAGCCAGCAAGCTCTATATTCCCGTGTATTTAGGGAGAAAATCATGGGTTCAATTCCCGCAGAGGCAGCGAAAGACGACCCCCCCCCCGCATTTCTAAAAAGCCTCCTCCTGGGAAGGGGTTTAGACCAGTAACTTAAGACAACACTAAGGGCTGGTCCAGTGTCATTACAATGTGTACCTTTTGTAAAAAGCTGGAGCTGATGGAGAAAGTTAGGCTTTGTTATGTTTTTTTTGGGGGGGTGCAGCTCAGTGGTAGAGCAGTTGCTTTGCATGCAGAAGGTCTCGGATTCCTATTTTCACGTTTGGTGGGGGTGTACCATGGTCCACGCCTTCTGGGGGAAAGTTTTTTATCTGACCTCCAAAATCTCTAAACCATCTATAATAATAATAATAATAATTTATTATTTATACCCCGCCCATCTGGCTGGGCCTCCCCAGCCACTCTGGGCGGCTTCCATAAAAACCAAAAATACAGTAAAATATCACACGTTAAAAACTTCCCTGAACAGGGCTGCCTTAAGATGTCTTCTGAATATCAGGTAGTTGTTTATCGCTTTGACATCTGCTGGAAGGGCGTTCCACAGGGCGGGCACCACTACCGAGAAGGCCCTCTGCCTGGTTCCCTGTAGCTTTGCTTCTCGCAATGAGGGAACCGCCAGAAGGCCCTCGGCGCTGGACCTCAGCGCCCTGACTCAACAATGGGGATGGAAATGCTCCTTCAGGTATACTGGACCGAGGCCTTTTAGGGCTTTAAAGGTCAGCACCAACACTTTGAATTGTGCTCGGAAACGTACTGGGAGCCAATGTAGGTCTTTCAAGACCGGTGTTATATGGTCTCGGTGGCAGCCCCCAGTCACCAGTCTAGCTGCCGCATTCTATCTATCTGTCCTAATTCAGCACTTGCCTTATTATAACTAGATTTCACCCCAAATTCTGTGCTTCAATCTAAAGAATTAATTTCCTTTCTGTTCACAGCAGCTAGACTACAGTTATTGTGAAATGATGGAAGAATTTATAAAATATTAACTGCGTTATATAATTTATAAAATATTAACAATGTAGGATTGTTTACGGATTACTTTCCAGTCTTTCTGTGTTTTCATTGTTCCTTTGTTGCAATTATAAAAATGGGCTTTATGCTGTTCTTATAGCAGGGAATAAGGGACACAGGTGGCGCTGTGGGTTAAACCACAGAGCCTAGGACTTGCCGATCAGAAGGTCGGCGGTTCGAATCCCTGTGACGGGGTGAGCTCCCGTTGCTCGGTCCCTGCTCCTGCCAACCTAGCAGTTCAAAAGCATGTCAAAGTGCAAGTAGATAAATAGGTACCGCTCCAGCGGGAAGGTAAACGGCGTTTCCGCGTGCTGCTCTGGTTTGCCAGAAGCGGCTTAGTCATGCTGGCCACATGACCCGGAAGCTGTCTGTGGACAAACGCCGGCTCCCTCGGCCAATAAAGCGAGATGAGCGCCGCAACCCCAGAGTTGGTCACGACTGGACCTAATGGTCAGGGGTCCCTTTACCTTTACCTTATAGCAGGGAATTGGACTAGAAGACCTTTGGAGTCCCTTTCAACTCTACAGTTCTAGGTTTTCAGAGCCAATCCTGCTTCCTAAACACCACTGTCGTGCTCCTCTTTTCACAACTTTCCATTCCCAATTCTCTCTGCAAAGACAAAATATCGGTGGACTCTCAGCACATGCTCACTCACAATGACCACTCCAGAATCAAATTCTACACATCCCTAACAGTACATTATCTCTTTCATTATACTTACTATTACGAGACATTTTGATTGGTTTAATACATATATGTACAACTTTCCACACAAACACCAGAACATCAGATGCACTCCATAAATTTACAATTGATTTTTCCCCTATATGAGTTTGTTGATATGAGGGACAAAGTGAACTCTGCAGGGCAAACTTGGCACACTCCATACATCTAAATGGGTTCTCCCCTGTGAGAGTCTGTATTAGACCAGGTGTGGTTGACTACCAAAGATTTGCCAAGTAAGGGGCAGAGTCATACGCAGGATCCTCAGAGGGTGGGGATGTATGAAGTGGTAGAGCAAGTTAACCCTTTGTCGTTCAAGCTTCAACTACCTGCATCCATGAAGATACTGCCTGTCTTTCATTTGTCCTTGTCTCCCATGACGCCTTTGCACCAGTATCAACCGCCAAAAGAGTTGCCACCCCACCCCCACCCCATAATGGTAGAGGGGGAACCTGAATATGAGGTGCCGCAACTGCTGGACTCTCGCTGGAGCGGGAGGAGATTGCAGGATCTAGTGTCTTGGAAGGGGTATGGGCATGAGGAAAATTCATGGGAGGACTCTAGGAACGTACAAGCCTCTAGGTTGCAGGTGGAGTTTCACCACTGGTACACCAACAAACCCAAACCAAGAGGGTGGCAGGAAGAGTATGAGGCGTGGGAAGAAGATGAAGAGAGTGAGGCAGGTTGGGGATTGGAAGTACAGGAAAACCCACAAGGGGGATGTTCCTGGGAAGAGAGTGAGGATGAATGGTGGGAAGGCTTTGGCAGCACCCCTCACAAGGAGGGGGAGCAGGGAGAGGGCCTTGGGGGGTGTCATGAATGAGCCAATGCGCAGGGAAGGTTTGCAGACAGCTCCCAGTGAAGGAAGTAGCCAGGAAGAGAGAGGGTTAACTGCAAGAAAAGATGAGCATAGCCTAGTGCCAACTCCCCCACCCTTAGGAATGGCAGAACTAAGAGAACTAAGGAGGGCAAGCTGCCAACGCTCTGAGAAGCACAAAATGCCACAAATAGAGAAGGAAGCAGTTCATCAGGCGGGAAAGAACAAGACCGTCCCTCAGAGAATGAGGAGGAGAGAGCTGACCCTCTTAGTCCCAGGTCTCAGCAAATGGGAGGGCTGCAAGATAGGAGGCAGGGCAAAAGACGTCAAAGGAAAAGTCCAGTTGCTTCTGGTCTTGCCGGAAGCAGACTTCAGAAGGGTCATCATGATTAATCATGGCGATGGCTATGTTAGAGCCGTCCAGTTATCTGTTTGTTGTGACAATAAATCATCCTTTAATGAACTATGCTCACCGTGTTATCAAGCCAGGAACTGGACTCCTGACACCCCGGTTATCAGATCAAGTTCCCACCACCTTAAGTACCCACCACCTAAAGACTAATAAAACTATCTATGCATATCCATGCCTTCTGGCCTTCCCGAGTATGGGCTGTGGGAACATGTGGCCTCAGGAAACCCATCAACAGATGTTCATTCTTCCCCTCAAGGGAGGGGTGCTCTGTACTTGACTGTATATCCCAAGGATTATGGAGGAGGGTGGTATCCAAGTTGAGTATGTGACCTGTCACTTAGGATTATGGAGAAAGGCAAAGCCCAAGTCCGCCTTTCCTTTTGAAGCAAAATGTCATTGAAATGGGGAGAATCGGTTATGGCATTGCTTTTATGTGATTTTTCAAAGGTTAGTAGTCCACCAGCACTGTCAAGTACAAGGGGATACAACTTTGACACTTTCTTGCAACAATGCAACAAGTTTTGCCAATCAAAACCAGAAGGGGTAGAATTTATGAGCTTTCTTCATTATCTGCACAGCAGGGGGTGTTCAGTTAACAGTGCAAAGGCTGAGCTGAAGCGTTCCCTGCTGGTTACCTGCTTTCAGCAATAGGGGTCGCTGTTTGGTAGTACCCAATAGGTTAGCTGTCACACTCTAGAGCTCCCTATTGGTGGCTCTTAGGTAATTCACAAAATACAGAGTCCATTCATAAAACAGTGTTCATTTATAAAGCAGTAACATAAATCTCAATTGGTACATATTGGGTGTATATTTTAGCAGTTGAATGTACAGGTTTATGGCCATGCTGTAGTGGATTTATGGGGTTTTCATTGCTGGGGAAGGAAGAGGCGGAGCTCAGACGGCAACAGCAAACTTGGGAGAAGACGCCGAGGACTGAGCTCTGCAATGATTTACGTGTTGTAGCAATAAATCTAAGATAATTACTGCCGGAGATGTCTCATTTATGTAGGAGAAACCCAAGCCATTACACTGCTGCTCTTATAACAGGGAATTGGACTAGAAGACCCTAGGAGTCCTTTAAACTCTACAGGTCTATGATTCCAGAGCCAATCCTGCTTCCTAAACACCACTGTTGTGCTCCACTTTTCACAACTCTCCATTCCCAACTCTCTCTGCCAAAGACCAAATATCAATGGACTCTCAGCACATGTTCACGCACAATGAGCACTCGAGTGTCGCATTCTGCACATCCCTAACAGTACATTGTATCTTTCATTATACTTATGATTATGAGACATTACCTACATTGCTTTAATACATATATGTACAATATTCCATACAAACACCAGAACATAAAACATACTTCATGCATTTACAATGGATTTTCCATATAAGAGTTTGTTGATATGAGAGACAAAGTGAACTCTGTGGGGAAAACCTGGCACACTCCATAAAACTGAATGGGTTCTTCCCTGTGAGAGTCTGCAGCTGTTAATTAAGAACTCCATTATAATTGAAACACTTTCCACACTCCTAACATTTAAACCGTTGCCTCCCTGTGAGATTGCTGATGTTTTCTAAGAGTTATGCTCTTACTGAAACACTTTTCACACTCCCAACATTTATATGGTTTCTCTCTTGTATGAGTTCGTTGATGTATTCTCAAATGTACACTTTGATTGAAACTCTTTCCGCACTCCAAACATTCATATGGTTTCTCCCCTGTGTGAGTTCGAAGATGTATAGTAAGGTATGAACGTTGACTGAAGCTCTTGCCACATTCCATACATCTAAATGGTTTTTCCCCTGTGTGAGTTCGTAGATGTCTTGTCAGTGTTCCACCTTCACTGAAACCCATCCCACAATCCATACATTTAAATGGTTTCTCCCCTGTATGAGTTCGCTGATGTACAATAAGGTTTGCATTCTGATTGAAGCTCTTTCCGCACTCCATACATTTATATGGTTTCTCCCCTGTGTGAGTTCGTTGATGTATAGTAAGGCTTGCACTACGACTGAAGCTCTTTCCACACTCCACACATTTAAATGGTTTCTCCCCTGTGTGACTTCGTTGATATATTGTAAGATTTCCACTCTCACTGAAGCTCTTTCTGTACTCCATGCATTTAAAGGGTTTCTCTCCTGTATGAGTTTGAAGTTGTGTGCTAAGGTGTTCACTCATGCTGAAGTACTTTACAGATGGCCCGTCAAAATTCTGGTTGTCTTCTCCATCACCTGGTTGAAAGTGGGAGAGAAAGAGAATTTTGTTAGGTATGTACCACATTTTTAGGAAAGGAAAGGAAATCTGAAAATAATCTCCAGAACCCTAGTATCCAGTTCTACCTTCAACTCACATGTAACATTGAATACCAAGAGAAACCTTGTGTGCTGATTTGAGGCATCTATGGCCCCTCCAGTTGTGGCCGGAATCTAAGAACCATCAACCCAATAAAAGAAGTCCAATGACCAGGGATGATGGGAGTTGTAGAGCAGCAACCTCTGGACGTACACATTTTCCCCATCTTCCCCCTCTTGTGAAATTGCTATGACTCTGTATTCAGGACTCCTTCGTCCCTGATCTGTAATATCTGGCTGATACATTCCAGTAAACGGTTCACATCACCTAAACCTGCACCAGGGTGCTGGAAAAGATGGGCCCATGTTCTGATCCAAAAGGGATCTTTTTATATTCGTACACACTGAAAGGAGACATACAAAGGTACAGTCTCACAGCAAAGTGGAAGTATGGACCTCTCAATTGATCCTGGACAACATCCCTGTATTTTTCTGTTCCAGGTGAGAAGATGACCTCAGACTTGAATACAGTGGTACCTCGGGTTACAAAAGCTTTGGGTTACAAACTCCGCTAACCCGGAAGTAGTTGCTCTGGGTTGTGAACTTTGCCCCAGGATAAGAATGGAAATCACGTGGTGGCGGCGCGGGAGGTCCCATTAGCGAAAACACACCTCAGGTTAAGAACGGACCTCTGGAACGAATTAAGTTCGTAACCCAAGGTACCGCTGTATCAATGTCTCTGCTATGAGGAATAAGTAAAACAGAAGTGCTGTTTATGTCATATGTGACTGTAAAAATATTGAAAAAGATTAATCTTGTGAAGCAAAGACAGCATAGTATCTTGTGGCCCATTAAAAGCTAATAAATGACGTGCACCAGTAAGGCTCATGCCACCATTATTTATATGGTGTCTCGTTGTATATTATACATAAAGATTTTTTGTGTGTATTCATACCACAATATCAGCTTATGAAGAGTTACCTACTGACAAAAGTACAGTGTTGCTATAAAGTACAATCTTCAACATCAACTTCGGTAGGCTGGTCATATTGTTCAGATGCCTGATTATCGTCTTTCAAAGAAACCACTCTATTCCCAATTTAAGAATGGAAATTGATATACCGGTGGACAACAAAAGAGGATAAAAGACGCTCTCAAGGCAAATCTTTAAAATGCAGTACAAGCACAGAAAATTGGGAAACACTGGTCTGCGATCGCTCCTTCACTGCGAGATGTGTGGTTAAAGGGAACCAGGTAGGGCCTTCTTGGTAGCGGCGCCCGCCCTGTCAAACGCCCTCCCATCAGATGTCATGGAAATAAACAGCTGTCTGACTTTTAGAAGACATCTGAAGGCAGCCCTGTTTAGGGAAGCTTTTAAGGTTTGATTCTATTTTTAAAAAATTATTGGGAGCTGTCCAGAGTGGCTGAGGTAACCCAGCAAGATGGCCGGGGTATAAATGATAAATTGTTGTTGTTGTTGTTGTTATCCAATTAGAGAATAACCTTTACCAAAGGCGTCATGGACTTTGAAGAAGCACAAACTCAGGATGAAAGGGAGAAACAAGCTAAGAGGAAAGCACATTTGGCAAAGGCTCACTGTAATTAACTCCTGCCCAAAAACCTATGTCCCCACTGTGGAAGGATGTGTGGATCCAGAATTGGACTCTACAGTCACTTACGGACACACCATTAAGACCATGTTCATGGAAGACAATCTTATTCGGCTACGAGGCTTCGCCAAAGAGGAAGACACGGCATGAATAAATGGCTCAAACAGTAGTTTTGGAACTTCAACGTCAAACAGCCAGGAGGAATAAAAATCTGCCCTTACCCAGAGAGGCCACCATCTCATAATTCTCCTGCATGACTTCCTTGTGCAAAGCTCTTTGGCCTGGATCCAGCAGAGCCCACTCCTCCTCCGTGAAAAACACAGCCACTTCCACAAAGGTCAAGAGGGCCTGGAAGAAGAAGAAGAAGACAAAGCTGCTCTTAGATCCCCATCATCCCCACTCAACACAGAGGGAGGCTAGGTGGTCCCATCTGTGCCTCTTCCCTCCTATCCGATTCCCCAAAGCTCTTTCCTTACCCGAGTAAGCTTCCTGGCTCCTCTTTCCTCTCCACCTCTGAGAAGAGACGGTCCAAACGGTGCCTCCGAGGCCATTGCGCTGCCTGTAGGAGATCCGGAGGAGGGTAAAACTGGCCACTTCCAGGGACTGTCCCAGTTGTACTTCAAAGAAAGGATCTGTGCTTCTTTCTTCCCAACTCTGCGAGATAGAACAGGGTGAAAAATAACCAGGGGGTCAACACTGGCCCCTCATGAGCACAGACCTGAAACTGCCTGATTAGTTTTAAATCCTGACACTCATGTGTCCATTTTCCTTGCTTAGATTAGCAGGAGGGAAACCAGTCAGGTGTTTTTTCCAAGCTCCGGGAAATCCAAAATGTGCCTCTTCCCTCCACTTCAGGGGCACATAAACAGGACAGCAAACCCTCGCCCATTGTTCCCCACTCTGCCAACATGGGGGGAGGGGCGCCCCCTTCCCAAGAAGCAAATCCTTTCCTTTAGTCTCCTTCTCACAATCAGCCGCTCTCCATATCTTCCCCAATGGAGCCGGCTCTGCCAGGAGCCCCACTGAGGCAGGGGCTTCAGCAGAAGATTTTGGAGGGGGGCAGGTCAGGGTCCTGGAGGAGCTCACAACTCCCCTCCCCTCCAGACTGGCTCCCTGAAGCAGGAGGCAGAGCCTGGGGGGGGGGGGGGTCAGGAGTGAGAAGGGAGATGGAGGGTGTTAAACAGAGAGGAGCATCACGAGGTGGAAATGGGGCTGCCCCCCCCTTTGAACGGAGAAGGACTAACTGCTGAGTCAACATGCACAGGGTGGGGCTGCAAATCCCTTTGTAATTAAGTTCCACTGCGGGGGGGGCACTCTTTTGTGGATCGTCTCAGGTTTCTTCGGCCCCCCCTACCCCCCACCATGGGAGCCTGGCTTGACCTCTGCGCTTCAAAAAGGATCTAGCATTGCAAACCCCTTTGGGGGAGGGGGAACCCACAGGATGCCCTGCATCCACCCCACCCCCACCGATTCCCACAGAGAAAGGGCGGGGCCCCTCCCTGCTTTCTTTTCTACACCCCCCCCCAATCCTCCCGCCTCATTTCCCAGCTGCCTTCTTTGTATATTCAAGGAAAGCAAAACCTTCTCCCACACCCCCCCACCCCCCAATATGCGGCACCTCTTTCTCCTCTTCTCCAAGTCCGCTTCTCTTCCGGGAATGAAGATAGGAGACCCCTCCCCCTTCAAATAGCCTCTCCCCCCCCCCCCCAAAAAGGAAAACAAATTTCCTGCCTCTCTAGGAAGCGGAGCTCATTGACCCAGAGGGAGGGGGAGGGGCAGGAGAGCCGCCTCCCCCTCCTTGCAAAACAGAAATTCCATTAAGAGCAACAGAGCTCTATATTTCTGTTTATTTCATGAGAAATTATTGGGTTCAGTTCCCCGCAGAGGCAGCGAAAGACGGACCCCCCCCCGCATTTCTGAAAAGCCTCCTTCTGGGAAGGGGTTTAGAGCAGTAACTTAAGACAACCCTAAATGGTGGTCCAGTGTCATTTGAATGCGTACACTTTTTTAAAAAAGAGGGAGCAGATGGAGAAAGTTAGGCTTTGTTATGGTGGGGTCAGCTGAGTCGTAGATCAGTTTCTTTGCATGCAGAAGGTCTCGGATTCCCATTTTCACGTTTGGGGGGGGTGTACCATGGTCCATAGGGGACGCGGGTGGCGCTGTGGGTAAAACCTCAGCGCCTAGGACTTGTCGATCGCATGGTCGGCGGTTCGAATCCCCGCGGCGGGGTGCGCTCCCGTTGTTCGGTCCCAGCGCCTGCCAACCTAGAAGTTCGAAAGCACTCCCGGGTGCAAGTAGATAAATAGGGACCGCTTACTGGCGGGAAGGTAAACGGCGTTCCGTGTGCGGCTCTGGCTCGCCAGATGCAGCTTGTCACGCTGGCCACGTGACCCGGAAGTGTCTGCGGACAGCGCTGGCTCCCGGCCTATAGAGTGAGATGAGCGCACAACCCTAGAGTCTGGCAAGACTGGCCCGTACGGGCAGGGGTACCTTTACCTTTACCATGGTCCATGACTTCTGGGGAAGAGCTTTTTATCTGACCTCCAAAATCTCTAAACCATCTATCTGTCCTAATTCAGCACTTACCTTATTATAACCGTATTTGACCCCATATTCTACTCTTCAATCTAAAGAATTAATTTCCTTTCTGTTCACAGCAGCTAGACTACAGTTATTGCGAAACGATGGAAGGAAAGCTCTAAAAGAGCAATAGAGGCTTGGATCAATAACATCTGGATCATTGCTCTGTCAGAACACCTCACATACCATTGGTGTCTAATCAAAGGTATCTCCAAAAAAGATACCTTTAGCACAGTCTGGTCTCCCTTTTTCTCCCTTGATTGAAGAACAACAGGATATTTTAATGCCGCCACCACCATCATCACAGAGGTATTTGTGGAGGGGATATTATGATTGGAATTGTCTAGCCAAGCAGATGGGTAGTTGGGTTCCTATTGAGGGCATTGGGGGAGCCAACATGACCGTGATGTGGGATTGAGGATTGGAGTGATCATTCTGTGATATTATGGCAGTGAACAAAGCTGTATTTACTCTGAATAAATGAATATTGTTGTTTTAATAAAGGTCTCAAATTCAATGCTTTGCATGCAGGAGGGCCCAGGTGAAATCCTCATCAGGCAAAGAGACCCTGTTGGCATCCGTCTGTCTTGGGGGGCGATGGAGGAAGGGGCCTTTGGGGGTGAAGTCCAACGGTGGGCATCTTGTAGCACTTGTTGTGGCTGCTTCATGTCAGGGGCAAATGCTCAATGCCAGCAGAGAGAGGAGCAGCTCCAGATGAACTCTTGCTTCAGCCTCCTATACTGCCTGCTCTTTCTATGGATTTCTGAAAGATGGGCCAGTTATGGGGGCAGAGATTCCTCTCTCCGCAGGGAAAAGACTCTCCTGAAACCACTGGAAATGCCCACATTCCCCTGTGCCACCTTCCCATATTGGTTCTTCCCCTCAGCACCTCCTTTATTCCGGCTGCCACCAGGGATTTTGTCTACTATGCCATGAATGTGGTGTCAGGGACTGATCTGAATCGGAGGACTGAGGAATGCAATCGCAGGAAGATCAGATTCTAACAGAAGAGGAGAGGGAAGATTTGCCCCCCCCCCTTCCAGAGTATCACAATGCAGAGAGACAGGCATATTCAGAGGCTGCAAGTTTGAGACAGGAGCTACCCAGCGTTGAGATAGTAGCTAGGCAACAGGATGGAGGGAAGCAGCTGGGCAATACATCAATCAGAGTGGGGGGAAACTCCCCCCCCCCCACTCTCTAAGATATGTGACTGTCAGAGAACAAAGGAGAAGCCGGGAAGGAGGGACACTTCTTTGGAAGTGGGTGAGTACTGCTATCCTTGCGAAGAGTTGCCTGTTTGTGCTAGCAACATGATACGGGAATAAAAAGACTAGAAATCTACCAACTGCTCATTAATTCTCATCGGTGAGCTACCAAAAAGGGAGGGGGGAACTCCCGAACATGACACGTAGCCATGAATGAGAAGGTATTGTAAAACAATGAATTTTTAAAAGATAAATAATGTAGGACAGTTTAAAGATTACTTGTGACACAAAATGGCGGTTTCAGTCTTTCTGTGTTTCCATTGGTCTTTTGTTGCAATTAGAAAAAAGGAATTTATGCTGCTTGTCAGCTCCTTGCCTTTCGTGCCTCTGCTGACAGTGTCTTGAGAATGCTGGGACACAGGGAGATGAGATTAGGCTGGAATGTGAAGCTAAGCTGCAGTAGGAGCCTGCTCTCAAAGAAGAGCAGGAAAGAGGGAAAACAGACTGTCAGTGCGAGCTCCAACTGCAGAAATAGCCTGCCAAAAAACGTGTAGGCTCAAGAGAATATGTGAGAGGCAGAAAAGAGAGAGAAAGCGAAGGTGGGGATTTCATTGCTGGGGAAGGAAGGGGCGGAGCTCAGACGACAACAGCAAACTTGGGAGAAGACGCCGAGGACTGAGCTCCGCAGTGATTTACGAGTTGCAGCAATAAATCTGAGATAATTACTGCCGGAGCTGTCTCGCTTCTGTAGGAGAAAGCCAAGCCATTACACTGCTGCTCTTATAACAGGGAATTGGACTAGAAGACCCTTGGAGTCCCTTTAAACTCTACAGTTCTAGGATTCCAGAGCCAATCCTGCTTCCTAAACACCACTGTTGTGCTCCACTTTTCACAACTCTCCATTCCCAACTCTCTCTGCCAAAGACCAAATATCAATGGACTCTCAGCACGTTCACTCACAATGAGAACTCCAGGGTCACATTCTATACATCCCTAATAGTACATTGTATCTTTCATTATATTTACTATTATGAGACATTACCTTCATTGCTTTAATACATATATGTACAACTTTCCATACAAACACCAGAACATCAAATACACTTCATGCATTTACAATTGAATTTTCCATATATGAGTTTGTTGATATAAGGGACAAAGTGAACTCTGTGAGGAAAACATGGCACACTCCATACATCTAAATGGGTTCTTCCCTGTGAGAGTCCATAGGTGTTAATTAAGAACTCCATTCTAATTGAAACACTTTCCTCACTACTTCCATTTAAACAGTTGCTTCTCTGTGAGATTGTTGGTGTCTTCTCAGAGAGCCACTGTAACTGAAGCTCTTTTCACAATCCATACATTTAAATGGTTTCTCCCCTGTGTGAGTTCGAAGATGTATAGTAAGGTATGAACGTTGACTGAAGCTCTTGCCACATTCCATACATCTACCTGGTTTCTCCCCTGTGTGAGTTCGTAGGTGTCTTGTAAGTGTTCCACCTACACTGAAACCCATCCCACAATCCATACATTTAAATGGTTTCTCCCCTGTGTGAATTCGTTGATGCATAGTAAGTCTTGTACTATGACTGAAGCTCTTTCCACACTCCATACATTTATATGGTTTCTCCCCTGTGTGAATTCGTTGATGCATAGTAAGGTTTACATTCTGACTGAAGCTCTTTCCGCACTCAATACATTTAAATGGTTTCTCCCCTGTGTGAATTCGTTGATGTATAGTAAGGCTGGCACTACGACTGAAGCTCTTTCCACACTCCACACATCTAAATGCTTTCTCCCCTGTATGAGTTCGCTGATGTGCAATAAGGTGTGCATTCTGATTGCAGGTCTTTCCGCACTCCATACATTTATGTGGTTTCTCCCCTGTATGAGTTCGCTGATGTGCAATAAGGTGTGCATTCTGATTGAAGCTCTTTCCGCACTCCATACACTTATATGGTTTCTCCCCTGTGTGAATTCGTTGATGTATAGTAAGGCTTGCACTACAACTGTAGCTCTTTCCGCACTCCACACATTTAAATGGTTTCTCCCTTGTGTGACTTCGTTGATGTCTAATAAGGTTTGCATTCTGACTGAAGCTCTTTCCGCACTCCATACAGCTAAATGGTTTCTCCCCTGTGTGAATACGTTGATGTACACTAAGCACTGCACTAACCCTGAAGCTCCTTCCACACTCTATACATTTAAATGGTTTCTCCCCTGTGTGAGTTCGCTGATGTACAATAAGGTTTGCATTTTGATTGAAGCTCTTTCCGCACTTCATACATTTATATGGTTTCTCCCCTGTGTGAGTTCGTTGATGTATAGTAAGGTTTGCACTACGACTGAAGCTCTTTCTGCACTCCATACATTTAAATGGTTTCTCCCCTATGTGACTTTGTTGATGTCTTGTAAGATTTCCACTCTCACTGAAGCTCTTTCCGTACTCCATGCATTTAAAGGGTTTCTCTCCTGTATGAGTTTGTAGTTGTGTGCTAAAGTGTTCACTCATGCTGAAGTAATTTACAGATGGCCCGTCAAAATTCTGGTTATCTTCTCCATCACCTGGTTGAAAGTGGGAGAGAAAGAGAATTTTGTCAGGTATTCAAGAAAAACAGCAAGAGAACTTAACACTCAGCAAGACCAATCAGCACCTTCTCCTATTTTAACACCTCCAGCATTCCTCCCTCTCCCATGTACCACATTTTTAGGAAAAGAAAGGAAATCTGAAAATAATCTCCAGAACCGTTAGTATTCAGTTCTACCTTCAACTCACATGTAACACTGAATACCAAGAGAAACCTTCTATGCTGAGTTGAGGCATCTATGGCCCTCCAGATGTGGTTGATCTCTTAAGTGGCATTAACCGAAGAAAAGAAGTCCAATGACCAGGGATGGTGGGAGTTGTAGTGCAGCAACCTCTGGAGGGACACACTTTCTCCATCTTCCCCCTCCTGTGAAAATGCTATGCCTCTGTATTCAGTTTTCTGCTTCCTCCCTGATCTGTAATATCTGGCTGATACATTCCAACCAACTGTACACATCACCTAAACCTCTATCAGGATGCTGGAAAAGATGGGCCCTCGTTCTGACCCAAAAGGGATCTTTTTGTATTCCTACACACTGAAGGAGACAGAAAGTTACAGTCTCACAGCAAAGTGGAAGTATGTACCTCTCAATTGGTCCAGGACAACATCCCTGTATTTTTCTGTTCCAAGTGAGAAGATGGGCTCAGACTTGAATACAGTGGTACCCCGCAAGACGAACACCTCGCAAGACGGAAAACCCGCTAGACGAAAGGGTTTTCCATTTTGGAGGCGCTTCGCAAAACGAATTTCCCTATGGGCTTGCTTCGCAAGACGAAAGCCCATAGGGAAATCTCCGGGACCTCTTTTAAATGCTAGCGGTGGGGAGCAAAGCCTTCCCCTCCCTCCGGCCTTCAGAAGAGGTCCAGGAAGGCTGGAGGGGGCCGAAAGGCTTTGCTCCCCAGCGCCAGCATTTTAAAAGCAGTCCGGGATAGCAGGGAAGCGCTTCCCGCTATCCCGGACGGCTTTTGAAGGCAGGAGAGGTCCGTGAAGCCTGGGCGCGCTGATGTCAGCGCGCGCAGGCTTCGGCATGCCGGCAAGTCTCTGCCAGCAGTGGCAGCCCTGCCGCTGCTGGCGGAGCGGTCCGCGAAGCCTGGGCGCGCTGATGTAAGCGCGCGCAGGCTTCCGCATGCCGGCAAGGCTCCGCCAGCAGCGGCAGCCCTGCCGCTGCTGGCGGAGCGGTCCGCGAAGCCTGGGCGCGCTGATGTAAGCGCGCGCAGGCTTCCGCATGCTGGCAAGTCTCCGCCAGCAGCGGCAGCGCTGCCGTTGCTGGCGGAGCGGTCCGCGAAGCCTGGGCGCGCTGATGTCAGCGCGCGCAGGCTTCCGCATGCCGGCAAGGCTCCGCCAGCAGCGGCAGGGCTGCCGCTGCTGGCGGAGCGGTCCGCGAAGCCTGGGCGCGCTGATGTCAGCGCGCGCAGGCTTCGGCATGCCGGCAAGTCTCCGCCAGCAGCGGCAGCCCTGCTGCTGCTGGCGGAGCGGTCCGCGAAGCCTGGGCGCGCTGATGTCAGCGCGCGCAGGCTTCCGCATGCCGGCAAGGCTCCGCCAGCAGCGGCAGCCCTGCCGTTGCTGGTGGAGCGGTCCGCGAAGCCTGGGCGCGCTGATGTCAGCGCGCGCAGGCTTCCGCATGCCGGCAGAGGTCCGCGAAGCCTTGGCCGGACAGCTTTTGAAGGCAGGCGGGGGGAGCAAAGACTTTCGCCCCCGCCAGCCTTCAGAAGAGGTCCAGGACCTCTTCTGAAGGCTGGTGGGGGGCAAAAGTCTTTGTCCCCCCTGCCTGCCTTCCCAGGGGCTTTTAAATCGCCTCGGACAGCGGAGAAGTCCTCCGCTGTCCTGGGGCGATTTTAAAATGCCGCCTGCCAGCATTTTAAGATCGCCCCGGACAGCGGAGAAGCCCTCCGCTGTCCCGGGGTTTTTTAAAATGCTGGGGGTGGGAAGAAAAGCCCTTGTCCCCCCCCCCAGCCTTCAGAAGAGGTCGGGGGACAGACTGTCCCCGGACCTGGTCTGAAGTCGGTTTCCCTAGGAACGCATTAATTGATTTTCAATGCATTCCTATGGGAAACCGTGCATCGCAAGACGAAAAACTCTCAAGAAGAAGAAACTTGTGGAACGAATTAATTTCGTCTTGCGAGGCACCACTGTACAGTGGTACCTCGGGTTACAAAATACCTTCCGGTTACAAACTCCGCTAACCCGGAAATAGTTCCTCTGGCCTCCCCCTCAGTAAACCACGCCTCAGAATGGGAGGCGTTACACAGAGCCTCTTAACCCTGTAGGCTCTGACAAACTTTGCCCCAGGATGAGAACGGAAATCATGTGGCAGCGGCACGGGAGGCCCCATTAGCGAAAACGCACCTCAGGTTAAGAACGGACCTCTGGAACAAATTAAGTTCGTAACCCAAGGTACCGCTGTATGAATGTCTCTGCTATGAGGAATAAGTAAAACAGAAGTGTTGTTTATGTCATATGTTACTGTAAAAATATTGAAAAAGATTAATCTTGTGAAGCAAAGACAACATAGTATCTGGTGGCCCATTAAAAGCTAATAAATGGCGTGGAAAAGGAAGGCTCATGCATTATTTGTATAGTGTCTCTTTGTATATTATACATAGTTGTTTTTGCGAATTCATACCACAATATCAGCTTATGAAGAATTACCTACTGACAAAATACAATCTTCAACATCAACTTCGTTGGACTGGTCATGTTGTTTGGATGCCAGATTATTGTCTTCCAAAGCAAGTACTATATTGCCAATTTAAGAATTGAATGGGAAATACCGATGGCCAACCAAAGAGGTTTCTAGGCAAATCTTTAAAAAATGCAGTACAAGCACAGAAAATTGGGAAACACTGCTCTGCGAGCGCTCCCTCACTTCGAGATGTGAGGTTATAGGGAACCAGGCAGAGGTCCTTCTCAGTAGTGGCACCCGCCCTGTGGAACACCCTCCCACTAGATGTCAAGGAAATAAACAAATATCTGACTTTTAGAAGACATCTGAAGGCAGCCCTGTTTAGGGAAGTTTTTAAGGTTTGATTCTATTTTTAATATTTTGTTGGGAGCCGGCCAGAGTGGCTGGGGAAACCAGGGCAGATGGGCAGGAAATAAATAAATAAATATTATTACTATCATCATCATCATCATCCAGTTGGAGAATAACCTCTACCAAAGGCGTCATGGACTTTGAAGAAGCACAAACTCAGGACAAAAGGGAGAAACAAGCTAAGAGGAAAGCACATTGGCAAAGGCTCACTGTAATTAACTCCTGACCGAAAACCTATGTCCCCACTGTGGAAGGATGTGTGGATCCAAAATAGAAACTAAATTGACACGCTGTTAAGACCGTGTTCATGGAAGGCAATTTTACTCAGCTATGAGGGGTCACCAAAGAAGAAGACATGGGATGAATAAATGGCTCAAACAGCAGAGTCACACCTCCAACGTCTAACAGCCAAGAGGGATACAAATCTGCCCTTACCTAGAGAGGCCACCATCTCATAATTCTCCTGCATGACTTCCTTGTGCAGAGCTCTTTGGCCAGGATCCAGCAGAGCCCACTCCTCCTCCATGAAAAACACAGCCACCTCCTCAAAGGTCAAGAGGGCCTGGAAGAAGAAGAGGAAGAAGACAGAGCTGCTCTTAGATCCCCATCATCCCCACTCAACACAGAGGGAGGCTGGGTGGTCCCATCTGTGCCTCTTCCCTCCTCCCTGCTCCCGTTGCTCTTTCCTTACCTGAGGAAGCTGCCTGGCTCCTCTTTCCACTCCACCTCTGAGAAGAGACTGTTCAGAGGGGGTCTCGGAGGCCATTGTGCTGCCTGTAGGAGATCCGGAGGGGGCGTAAAACTGGCCACTTCCGGGACTGTCCCAGTTGTATTTCAAAGAAAGGAGCTGCGCTTTTTTCTTCCCAACTCTGTGAGATAGAACAGGGTGAAACATAACCAGGGGGTCGAAACTGAGTACAGTCATGAGCACAGACCTGAAACTGCCAGATTAGTTTTAAATCCCGCCACACATTTACTTGTTTTCTTTGCTTAGCAGAAGGGAAACCGGTCAGGTGTTTTTCCCCAAACTCCAGGAAATCCAAAATGTGCCTCTTCCCTCCACTTCAGGGGCACATAAACAGGACAGCAAACCCTCCCCCATTGTTCCCCACTCTGCCAACATTGGGGGGGGGAGCGCCCCCTTCCCAAGAAGCAAATCCTTTCCTTTAGTCTCCTTCTTACATCAGCCACTCTCCATATCTCCCCCCATGCAGATGGTTCTACCAGGAGACCCACTGAGGGAGGGGCTTCAGCAGCAGATTTCAGGGGGGGGCAGGGCAGGGTTCTGGAGGAGCTCCCTGACGGAGGAGGCAGAGCCAGGGGGGAGCGATGGGGGGGCAGCAGTGAGAAGGGAGATGGAGGGTGTTAAACAGAGAGGAGCATCACAAGACGGATGGGGCTGCCCCCCCCTTTGAACGGAGAAGGACTGACTTCTGAGTCAACAGGCACAGGGTGGGGCACCCTTTTGTGGTTCGTCTCAAGTGCCTTTGCCCCCCCTCCCCTCCCCCCACCATGGGAGCCTGACTTGATCTCTGCGCTGCAAAAAGGGTCTTGCAATGCAAACCCTGTTGGGGTAGGGGGATCCCACTTTGCAACAGGATGGCCTGCATCCAGCCCCCCCCCCAATTCCCACAGAGAAAGGGCAGAGTCCCTCCATGATTTCCTTTCTACCCCCCCCCATTCTCCCGCCTCCTTTCCCAGCTGCCCCCTTTGTAGATTCAAGGAGAAGGAAAGGAAATCCTTTTCCCACCCACCCTCCCCAAATAACCCCCCAATATGCGGCACCTCTTTCTCCTCTTTCCAAGTCCGCATCTCTTCCGGGAATGAGGATGGAGACCCCTCCCCTCCAAATTGCTTCCCCCCCCCCAGAAAAATAGCTTCCTGCCTCTCTAGGAAGCGGAGCTCATTGACCCAGAGGGAGGGGGAGGGGCAGGAGATCCGCCTCCCCCTCCCTACAAACAGAAATGCCCTTCCCAGCCAGCAAGCTCTATATTCCCGCTTATTTAGTGAGAAATTCATGGGTTCAATTCCAGGCAGTGGCAGCGAAAGATCACTCACACTCACACACGCACACACACTGCATTTCTAAAAAGCCTCCTTCTGGGAAGGGGTTTAGAGCAGTAACTTAAGACAACCCTAAAGGCTGGTCCAGTGTCACTACAATGTGTACCTTTTGTAAAAAAGAGGGAGCTGGTGGAGAAAGTTAGGCTTTGTTATAGTGTGTGGGGCACAACTCAGTGGTAGAGCATTTGCTTTGAATGCAGAAGGTCTCAGATTGGTTCCAATCTGATAGGGAGGTAGAGCTGGGTATCATCCGCATACTGATGAACACCTAGCCCAAACCCCTTGGTGCTCTCTCGCAGCGGCTTCATGTAGATGTTAAAAAGCATGGGGGAGAGGACGGAACCTTGAGACTCCCCCAACATCACTTTCGGGACACGGCCCAGGAGGAAGGAGCGGAACCACTGTACAACAGTGCCCCCAGCTCCTCTAGACCAGGATTCCTCAAAATCAGCCCTCCAGATGTTTTTGGCCTACAGCTCCCATGATCCCTAGCTAGCAGGACCAGTGGTCAGGGATGATGGGAATTATAGTGTCAAGACCTCTGGAGGGCTGAGGTTGAGGAAGCCTTGCTCTAGACGGTCCAGAAGGATGTTATGGTCGATGGTATCAAAAGCTGCTGAGAGATCCAGCAGAACTAGGAAACAGCTCTCACCTTTGTCCCTAGCCCGCCGGAGATCATCAACCAGCACCACCAAGGCAGTTTCAGTCCCATGATGTGGCCTGAATCCCGACTGGACGGTATCCAAATGGTCCGCATCTCCCAGGCGTGCTTGGAGTTGTTCAGCAACCACACGCTCAATCACCTTGCCCAAGAATGGAAGATTTGAGACTGGGCGATAGTTGGCCATATTAGCTGGGTCTAAAGATGTTTCTTTAAGAAGCGGTTTAATGACTGCCTCATTCAGCGGGTCTGAGAAGGCTCCCTCACAGAGGAAAGCATTCACCACTCCGCAGAGCCCATCACCCAGCCCTTCACAGCTAGCTTTTATTAGCCAGGATGGGCAAGAATCAAGGAGACAGGTGGTTGGCTTCACTTGTCCAAGCAGCCTGTCTATATCCCCGGAGGTAACAGGGATTCCATGCAACTCAACTAGACAGGACTCTAGCACTCTCCTGCCCCGGCCCTGCTCCCACGGTGGAGTATACATCCTTCTGAATCTGAGCAACTTTATCTGCAAAAACTTTGCAGAATCATTGTGGGAGATCTTGGGGTCTTTACCAGGCCCCAGTGGCAAAAGTGGTTCCGTTAAATTGCGAACCAACTGAAAGAGTCTCCTGCTGCTATTTTCTGCAGATGCGATAGAGGCGGTGAAGAAAGTCCTCTTCGCCGTTACTATCGCCACTTGGTAGGCTCAATGTTGAGCTCTAACCCACGTCTGGTCAGATTCAAAATGGTAAAGCATCCCCTACCACTCTCTGGAAACCATTTGGATCCATTAAGTGGCCGGGGGGGGGCATCCGAATTGGCCCCACCTCCCTGCAGAGGGGAAGGGTTGAGAAGTCCAGTTGCACTAGGAAATGATCTGACCATGGCACTTCTTTAGTTTCGCTTTTACTTAGTGTCACATCACCCATGTCAATAGAGGTGAACACCAGGTCTAAGGCATGTCCATGACTATGTTGGGCCAAACTTATTCAGTGACAGCCCCATGGAGGCCATGCTTTCCACAAAGTCCAAGTGGCCCCTTGTAAGGTCGGGTCGGCATGGATGTTAAAATCCCCTAGGTATCTCCAGGAGAAAATGCACCACTGAAGCAGCTTGGGCAGGGAATACTTTCACAAGCATGTCCAACAGGTAGATCACTAGTAGATCACTGGCTCCCCACCAAAGAAGCTCCCTAAACGTTTGGCTCCCCTAAAAAAGGCTCAACAACTTTGCCCTGCGAGTTTTTAACTCTGTGAGTAATCACAGTCTCTTCAGAGTTGGCCACCCCTGCTCCATCAGAACACCTCACCTTCAATGTCTAATCAAAGGTATCTCCAAAAAATATACCTTTGACACCATCTGGTCTCCTCCCTTGATTGAAGAACAGGTTATTTTAATGCCGCCGCCACCACCACCATCATCATCACCACGGAGGTATTTGTGGATGGGATACAATGATTCGAAATGTCTAGCCAAGCAGATGGGTAGTTGGGTTCCTATTGAGGGCATTGGGGGAGCCAACATGACTGTGATGTGGGACTGAGGATTGGAGTGATCAATCTGTGATATTATGGCAGTGGGCAAAGCTGTATTTATTTTGAATAAATGATTTATTTTTTTAAAGGTCTCGAATTCAATGCTTTGCATGCAGAAGACTGTCCCAGGTGCAATCCTGGCAGGCAAAGAGCACCCTGTTGGCATCCGTCTTTCTCGGGAGGCGATGGAGGAGGGGGCCTTTGGGGGCGAAGTCCAACTGTGGGCAGTTTGCAGCACCTGCTGTGGCTGCTTCATGTCATGGGCAAATGCTCAATGCCAGCAGAGAGAGGAGCAGATCCAGATGAACTCTGCTTTCAGCCTCCTATACTGCCTGCTCTTTCAATGGATTTCTGAAAGATGGGCCAGTTATGGGGGCAGAGATTCGTCGCTCCACAGGGAAATGACTCTCCTGAAACCACTGGCAATGCACATATACTGGTTGCCCGCCTCAGCACCTCCTTTATTCTGGCTGCCACCAGGGATTTTATCCACTTTGTCGTTAATGTAGCCATGAATGAGAAGGTACTGTAAAATCAATGAATTTATAAAATATAAACAATGTAGGATGGGTTAAAAATTACCATGTGCACATAAGACGATGGTTTCAGTCTTTCTGTGTTTTCATTGTTCACTTATTGCAATCATAAAAAATGGGTTTAATGCTGCTGTTCTTACAAGAGGGAGTTGGACTAGAAGACCCTTGGAGTCCCTTTCTACTCTACAGTGGTACCTCGGGTTACAAACACTTTGGGTTACAGACTCCTCTAACCCGGAAGAAGCACCTCGGGTTAAGAACTTTACCTCCAGATGAGAACAGAAATCATGCACCGGCGGTGTGGCGGCAGTGGGAGGCCCCATTAGCTAAAGTGGTGCCTCAGGTTAAGAACAGTTTCAGGTTAAGAACGGACCTCCGGAACAAATTAAGTTCGTAACCAGAGGTACTACTGTACAGTACTATGATTCTAGAGCCCATCCTGCTTCCTAAACACCACTGTCGTGCTCCACTTTTCACAACTCTCCATTCCTAACTCCGTCTGCCAAAGACCAAATAGTAACAAACTCTCAGCACATGTTCACTCACAATGAGCACTCCAGTCATAGTCTATACATCCCTTACAGTACATTATCTCTTTCATTATACTATTATGAGACATTACCTTCATAGCTTTAATACATATATGTACAACTTCCCATACAAACACCAGAACATCAAATACACTCCATAAATTTACAATTGATTTTCCCCTATATGTTGTAGTTCTTGTTTAGTCGTTTAGTCGTGTCCAACTCTTTGGGACCCCATGGACCAGAGCACGCCAGGCACTCCTGTCTTCCACTGCCTCCCGCAGTTTGATCAAACTCATGCTGGTAGCTTCGAGAACACTGTCCAGCCATCTTGTCCTCTGTCGTCCCCTTCTCCTTGTGCCCTCCATCCTTCACAACATCAGGGTCTTTTCATCATCTTTTCATCAGGGCCTTTTCATCAGGGTCTTTTCAGGGTCTTTTCCAGGGAGTCTTGTCTTCTCATGAGGTGGCCAAAGTCTTGGAGCTTCAGCTTCAGGATCTGTCCTCCCAATGAGCACTCAGAGCTGATTTCCTTCAGAATGGATAGGTTTGATCTTCTTGCAGTCCATGGGACTCTCAAGAGTCTCCTCCAGCACCATAATTCAAAAGCATCAATTCTTCGGCGATCAGCCTTCTTTATGGTCCAGCTCTCACTTCCATATATCACTACTGGGAAAATCATAGCTTTAACTATATGGATCTTTTTACAGATAGGTAGCCGTGTTGGTCTGCCATAGTCAAAACAAAAAAAATTCCTTCCAGTAGCACCTTAAAGACCAACTAAGTCAGTTCTTGGTATGAGCTTTCGTGTGCATGCACACTTCTTCAGATACACAGAATCTGAAGAATCTATGTATCTGTGTATCTGAAGTATCTGAAGTAATCTGTGTATCTGAAGAAGTGTGCATGCACACGAAAGCTCATACCAAGAACTGACTTAGTTGGTCTTTAAGGTGCTACTGGAAGGAATTTTTTTTGTTTTGTATATGGAACTTTGTCAGCAAGGTGATGTCTCTGCTTTCTGCTGATATGAGGGACAAAGTGAACTCTGTGGGAAACGCTTGGCACAATCCATACATCTAATTGGGTTCTCCCCTGTGAGAGTCCGTAGGTGTTTATTAAGAACTCTGTTATATTTGAATCACTTTCCACACTCCATTCATTTAAATGGTTTCTCACCTGTGTAAGATGGTTGATGCATTGTAAGTTTTCCATTTTCACTGAAGTTCTTTCCACACTCCAAATATTTACAGGGTTTCTCCTGTGTGAGTTTGTAGATGTCTTATAAGACCTCCACTGTGACTGAAGCACTTCCCACAATCCATACATATAAATGGTTTCTCACCCGTGTGAGTTCGTTGATGTACGGTAAGATTTCCGCTTTCACTGAAGCACTTCCCACACTCCATACATCTAAATGGCTTCTCCCCTGTATGAGTTCGTTGATGTAGAGTAAGGCGTCCCTTCCGACTGAAGCTCTGCCCACACTCTGTACATTTAAAGGGTTTCTCCCCTGTGTGAATTCGTAGATGTGTTGTAAGAGTTCTATTCCGACTGAAGCTCTGCCCACACTCTGTACATTTAAAGGGTTTCTCCCCTGTGTGAATTCGTAGATGTGTTGTAAGAGTTCCATTCTGACTGAAGCTCTGCCCACACTCCGTACATTTAAGTGGTTTTTCCCCTGTATGAGTTCGTTGATGTATAATAAGTTTTCCATTTTCACGGAAACACTTTCCACACTCCATACACTTAAATGGTTTCTCACCTGTGTGAGTTCGTTGATGTGCAGTAAGATTTCCGCTTTCACTGAAGCACTTCCCACACTCCATACATCTAAATGGTTTCTCCCCTGTGTGAATTCGTTGATGTGCAGTAAGATTTCCACTTTTACTGAAGCTCTTTCCGCACTCCATACATTTAAAGGATTTCCTCTCTGTGTTAGTTTGTGGATGTGTGCTAAGGTGTTCACTCACACTGACGTACTTAACAGAAGGCCCCTCAGAATTCTGATTGCCTTCTCCATCACCTGGTTTAAAGTGGGGGATAAGAAAATATTGTTAGGATTTCAAGGAACAGAACAAGAGAACTTAACACACAACAATACCAATCAGCACTTTCTCTTATTCCAACACCCCCAACAATCTCCCCTCTCCTATGTAGCACATTCTTAGGAAAGGAAATAATCCCAGAAAATACAGTGGTACCTCGGGTTACGAACCTAATTCGTTTCGGTGGTCCGTTCTTAACCTAAACCGTTCTTAACCTGAGGCGTGCTTTTGCTAATGGGACCTCCGGCGCATGTTCTCATTCTGGGGCAAAGTTCGTAACCCGAGGTACTACTTCTGGGTTAATGGAGTTTGTAACCTGAAGCATTTGTAACCCGAAGTGTTTGTAGCCCGAGGTACCACTCTAATAATAATAATAAGAAGAATAATATAAAGCACAAATAAAAGATCAGCCTCCTTCACACAGCACATAGTTTAACTAGGGAACTCGATCCCACAGGGAGTAATGATGGCCCAAATACCTGGAGGAGAGGTCTATTGCCGGCCACTCGTTGTGATGGCACTGCAATGCCTCCACAGTCAGAAGCACCAATGTTTTTCCTAAATACTGGAAACTACAGGAGGCAAGAGTGCTCTTGTGTTCGATTCCTGCTTGCTGGTTTCCCAGAGGCATCTGGCTTTGCCAGTGTGAGAACAGGACGCTGGACTAGATGGGCCACTGGCCTAATTCCTATGTTGCTCCTTCAGGGCATGAATAAATGGCTCAAACAGGAGATTCACACCTTCAACGTGTATCAGTCAAGAGGGATAAAAATGCATCCTTATTTATAGAAAAGAAATAATTGTGCCGCTTAAAAAATGTAAAGTACCTAAGAGAGTTTGGAAATGTGGGGGGCAAGGTTTTATTCACAATTTGCACAGTTCTAACTGTTGCTATAAAAGAAACTGATTAATTTGTTGTAGTTTTGCTTCTGCATTTTATTATCTTTTATATGGATATGGTAGTTTTCTGAATTTTGCTTTTTACCCACCTGGAGATCTTTAGCCGAAGGATGGGATACAAACGGCGTAAATAAAATAAACATAATGAACTATGTAAGAGCAAACAGGAGGAAAAATCACCTTGTTTTAGTTCTTATTTATTAAAGTTTAACTTACCTTACATCTTTCATTATCTTGTAATGGACACTATATTGAGGTTTAGTCAATATGCAAATGTATTTAAATTTAATTGATTGATTAAATTAAATTGAGTAAAAAATGTGCAAAATAAATAAATAAAAATGCATCCTTACCCAGAGAGGCCACCATCTCATCATTCTCCTCCATGACTTCCTTGTGCAGAGCTCTTTGGCCTGGATAATAATAATAATAATAATAATAATAATAATAATAATAATAATTTATTATTTATACCCCACCTATCTGGCTGGGCTTCCCCAGCCACTCTGGGCAGCTTGCAACAAATCACTAAAATACAATAACCTATTAAACATTAAAAGCTTCCCTAACAGGGCTGCCTTCAGATGTCTTCTAAAAGTTTGGTAGTTATTTTTCTCTTTGACATCTGGTGGGAGGGCGTTCCACAGGGCAGGTGCCACTACCGAGAAGGCCCTCTGCCTGGTTCCCTGTAACTTGGCTTCTCGCAGTGAGGGAACCACCAGAAGGCCCTCAGTGCTGGACCTAAGTGTCCGGGATCCACTCCTCCTCTGTGAAAAACACGACCACCTCATCAAGGTTCAATAGGGCCTGGAAGAAGAAGAGATGAAGAAGAAGAAGAAGAAGAAGAAGGAGAAGAGAAGAAGAAGAAGAAGAAACAGAGCTGCTCTTAGATCCCCATCATCCCCACTCAACACAGAGGGAAGCTGGGTTGTCCCATCTGTGCCTCTACCTCTCCTCCTCCCTGCTCCCGTTGCTCTTTCACTACCTGAGGAAGCTGCATGGCTCCTCTTTCCACTCCACCTTTAATAAGAGACTGTGCAAACAGTGGTGCCTCTGAGGCCATTGCACTGCCTGTAGGAGATTCAGAGGAGGCGTAAAACTGGCCACTTCTGGGGACTGTCCCAGCTGTATTTCAAAGCAAGGGGCTACGCCTTTATCTTCCCAATTCTGTGCGGTAGGACAGGGTGATAAATAACCAGGGGGTCAAAACTGGGCCCTCATGAGCACAGACCTCAACCGCTTGGGAAGGGAAAGCAGGGGGGGCAGGAGAGTTTAGAGCTGTGACTCTGTGGGACGAAGCCTTGAGCTGCCTACTGCCAGCAGGAGACTTCCAACTAAAAATAATAACGTTATTATATAAAAGGGTAAGAAGAATTCTGCATCTTCTACCATTTTGATTGAAGAAAGAAATATAATCAGATTAGATTTAATTAGGCTGAATTTGGTGATACACGAAGGGTTAAAACAGGAGGTCCACCCTTCGCTTTCCGGGTAAATTACATTACATGGAGAAAAGTTGCAAGTAGGAGAACTTATTTTACTAAAAAATGCCTATGGACACACGCCTGCTGATGGACCACCAAAATCCATTCTTTACTGATTGTCAATATCAGGAGATTTTAAAAGTGGCTACGGTGCTGTGTTGAGAGACAGAAAAGGGAAGGTGGTGCCAGAGTCCTGGGAGCGTCAGGGAGCCCTAACACCACTGTATCAAACTTTTCGCAGAAGAGACTTGGATTAAGATATATGAAGTACTCTGCTGAGGATTATAAGATTTCCTGTTGGGAGGAATAAAAGAAGGAAGAAGCTTGGAGTTGGCTCAACAAACACAACTGAGACTTTAAGGAACAGTTTGCAAGTGACTTGGTACCCCACTCTGAGACATTTTGGAAAAGCGGGCAAGCGGTTTTAATACGCTTTCGCTGGGAAAGTACTGGATCTCCCTTGGTATTTACTGGGAAAGTGTACTGAATGGCCGTGGACGTAATCACGACTGGTAGAGGAAACTGGCTGTTCTGAAAACAATGGAAGGTCAGCCAGAGAAACTATGGCATTTTTGTATCAATGGAAAAGAGAATTTATGGAACGTATGGCCAAGATATCAGAGACCATCAGTACCATATTGGATCAATGTAACAACACGGCAGAAGAACCAGAAACAAGAAAAATAGAGTCAGGGGAGACTCTTGGGCAAAGACAGGTGGGAAAGTTTGTAAAGGGGGAAAGGCTAATTGTTATGAAGAAAATCCAAAAGGAAAGAGCAGGGATTTGAAGGGCAGCACACGCAGAAAACATTTGAGGAAGTATTGGTAAAATCACCAATGTTAAGATAAGAGCGAGTTGAAACTGGAAATGGTCCTAATTGTTAGCAGCTTCTTGAGGAGCTTTAAACATGAGCACAGACAGGAAATAGTTACGAGAAATTTGGGTGAAATCACAATTGTGGAGACAGAGAGAAATTTGGAAGGAAGGAGGGCTCAAACTGGGAATTGTCCTAATGGGAAGCCTCTTCCGGAGGAGATTTAAATATGCCAAAGTAAGAAAAAAGAATGGGTAACAATCTGGCAAACTGGGACATCAGCAGACATGGATTAAATGCTTGCAAAAAGCAACAATAAGGATCATTTTAAAAGGGGAAATAGTCTGTAAGCATAGATGCATAATGTATAAAGCGGTCTGAATGTTTAAAATATCTGTGCAGTATACCACAAGTTTAATTGTTCAGTAGTTGGGAAATTGTGTAAAGGGATCCAGAATGTAAGATGATTTGGTTTATTTAAAGAACCAGAAGAGGGGGTGGAGGGAAGTCCGAGGATTTGGGGGTCGGGTAAAAATGTCTTCTTTTTGGTTATTTTTTAATGTTAATGAGAAATGTGCGGGGTAATCTGGTATTGATACAATGTGGCATATATTGGGAGTTTGGTACAGTGGTAAAGGTAAAGGGACCCCTGACCATTAGGTCCAGTCGTGACCGACTCTGGGGTTGCGGCACTCATCTCGCTTTACTGGCCAAGGGAGCCGGCATACAGCTTCTGGCTCATGTGGCCAGCATGACTAAGCCGCTTCTGGTGAACCAGAGCAGCACACGGAAACGCCGTTTACCTTCCCACCACAGTGATACCTGTTTATCTACTTGCACTTGACGTGCTTTTGAACTGCTTGGTTGGCAGGAGCTGGGACGGAGCAACGGGAGCTCACCCCACCGCGGGGATTCGAATCGCCGACCTTCTGATCAGCAAGTCCTAGGCTCGGATTAAGTACTTAATTCGTTCCGGAGGTCCGTTCTTAACCTGAAACTGTTCTTAACCTGAAGCACCACTTTAGCTAATGAGGCCTCCTGCCGCCGCCGCGCCGCCAGAGCCTGATTTCTGTTCTTATCCTGAAACAAAGTTCTTAACCTGAAGCACTATTTCTGGTTTAGTGAAGTGTGTAACCTGAAGCGTATGTAACCTGAAGCGTATGTAACCTGAGGTACCACTGTACTTGAAAACTAATAAAAATTATTTAACAAAAAAAACAAAAGAAGAAAAAACGAAAAACAAAACTGGCCCCTTATGAGCAGAGACCTGAAGCTGCGTGAGTAGTTTTAAATCCTGTCACTCATGCGCCCATTTTTCAAGCTCCAGGAAATCCAAAATGTGCCTCTTCCCTCCACTTCAGGGGCACATAAACAGGACAGCAAATCCTCCCCCATTGTTCACCACTCTGCCAACATGGGGGAGGGGGCTCCCCCTTCCCAATAAGCAAATTCTTGTTTCTTTTTGCTTCCTTCTTATATCAGCCTCTTTCCTACTCAGGAAGCTGCGGAGGTCGGATTTCCCTTAACATTGTCCATCTCTCACCCCCCACCCATTTCGAAATATCCTTCCTCTCTCCCGGAGATGGAAGCTGTTAAACAGAGAGGAGCATCTCTAGGTGGAATGGGGCTGCCACCCCTTTGAATGGAGTAGGGGCCCTTTATATGTCCTGCTGTCTTTTGTCAACAACAAATTGCTGCTGTTTTTTTGTGTTGGATATATGCTATATACAGGGACTATATACAGGGACACGGGTGGCGCTGTGGGTTAAACCACAGAGCCTAGGACTTGCCGGCACTTCGAATCCCTGCGACGGGGTGAGCTCCCATTGCTCGGTCCCTGCTCCTGCCAACCTAGCAGTTCGAAAGCACGTCAAAGTGCAAGTAGATAAATAGGTACCACTCCGGCGGGAAGGTAAACGGCATTTCCATGCGCTGCTCTGGTTCGCCAGAGGCGGCTTAGTCATGCTGGCCACATGACCCAGAAGCTGTACACCGGCTCCCTCGTCCAGTAAAGTGAGATGAGCGCCGCAACCCCAGAGTCGGTCACGACTGGACCTAATGGTCAGGGGTCCCTTTACCTTTACCTATATAAAAAAGGTAAACGTACCCCTGCCCGTACGGGCCAGTCGTGTCCGACTCTAGGGTTGTGCGCCCATCTCACTCAAGAGGCCGGGGGCCAACGCTGTCCGCAGACACTTCCGGGTCACGTGGCCAGCGTGACAAAGCTGCATCTGGCGAGCCAGCGCAGCACATGGAAACGCCGTTTACCTTCCCGCTAGAAAGCGGTCCCTATTTATCTACTTGCACCCGGGGGTGCTTTCGAACTGCTAGGTTGGCAGGTGCTGGGACCGAGCAGCGGGAGCGCACCCCGCCGCGGGGATTCGAACCGCCGACCTGACGATCGGCAAGTCCTAGGCGCTGAGGTTTTACCCACAGCGCCACCCGCGTCCCTATATGCTATATGGTAATTTATGGACCTAATAGGCATCTAAAGCCATTTGCACTTGTTGCCATGCAACCAGTGCATGCAGAAGGCAGACACCCCATATATAGAAATGAGCAAACCAGAGATATTTTAGGGAGCAGGCAAGCAGGCGGGGCTCATTACATCATAGGAGCCTACACAACACACTGTTGCTGTATGTAGGTTTTATTTTATTTGTTTTTTATGTTATATTTTGGAAATGTACCACCAGTTGTTGTTTTTCCTTGGGGGGGGGCAAGAGAGTGAGGCCCCTAAGCTATAGCTTGTTTAGCTTATACGTAAATCCAGCACTGATGGTGGGGCTGCAAATCCCTTTGTAGTTAGGGTGCACTGGGGGGGGGACCTTTTTCTGGTTCGTCTCAAGTGTCTTCGCCCCCCTCCCCTCCCCCCACCATGGGAGCCTGGCTTGATCTCTGCGCTTCAAAAAGGATCTTGCAATGCAAACCCTGTTGGGGGAGGGGGAGCCCACTTTGCAACAGGACGGGCTGCATCCAGCCCCCCCCCCACTTATTCCCACAGGGAAAGAGTGGAGCCCCTCCCTGCTTTCCTTTCTAAACACCCCCCCCCATCCTCCCGCCTCCTTTCCCAGCTGCCCTGTCTGAAGTTTC